CTCTGCTCCCCCACCAAGAGCTGGGGGGCCCCGCCCCCCGGGGGGGGGGGGGGGGGGTTCCCAACCCCCCGGGGGGGGGGGGGGAGGGGAGGCAGGCCCCCAGATCTGCGCATAGGATAACAACAGGCTGGCCAGCGTCAGCATGGGGTTCTTCCTGGCTCTCAGTGTGGGCTGTCATCCTGCATCCTCTGGGGGCCTGTTCCCCAAGGGAAGAACTGGGGGAAGCAATCAGAGAGCTGGGGAATCGAACAGGGAGCTAGATGTCAATATCAGAGCAATCCTTCCCCCCTCTTCCCTGTCCCTCTCCTACTTTTTGTTTAGCTGCAGCAAGCCTGGTTTCGAAACTCAAAACATTTCAAAATTTTCCAAGTGTCCTTGTTTAGTTTCAAAGCTGTTTCAAAGCCTTTTGTTTCATATTGATTTCAGTTTTGAGCTCAAAACGCGTCAAACCAGCTTCAAAATGAAACACCCATTAACCAGCCCTAACATGCAGTTTAATTAAATGATGCAAATAGGGTCATGAGGTAGACTTGGTGGAAGTGAGTGGAAGGTCAGAAGGCTTCAGATGCAACAAATAGTCCAGGACCCAGGGTGGTATGACTAGCATAAGGTTCAGGTCTTGATCATAGAAAGTTAGGGTTGGAAGGGACCTCAGGAGGTCATTTAGTCTAACCTCATGGTCAGAGCAGGATCATCCCCAACTACATCACCCTAGCCAAAGATTTGTCTAGACAGGTTTTGAAAACCTTCAAGGATGGAGACTGTACCACCTGTCTGGGTAAAGTGATCCAGTGGTTTACTACCTTTCTAGTGAAAAGGGTCTTCCTAATATCTAACCTAAACTTCCCTTGCTGCAACCTGAGACTGTTGCTCCTTGTTCTGTCATCTGCCACCAGTTAAAACAATCTAGCTCCATCCTCTTTGGAAACCTCCCTTCAGGTAGTTGAAAGCTGCTATTTAGTGGTCTCTCAGTCTCCTCTTCTCTAGGCTAAATAAGCCCACAGAATAATCAAAGATACTACTGATCTCCTCTCCCTACACCTGCATCCAAAAATCTTGTGCTTTCTTAGCTACAGCATCACACTGACCACATCTTCAACTGAATTTGTTGCAGGACCTGCAGGTGCTGTCAAGAACCACTAAATTCATGGATAAGACTTATAAGCATCTTGTTTCTAAATGTATTTGTCCTTCCCAGTGGTACCTGACCTTTTTTGTCTCGCAGGCCAAACAGGCACTGCAAGGTATGTCTGCAGGCTGGATGGGAGATTCCTGATCTGTCTGTGGGCTGGATCTGGTTGGTATGTAGGGCTGGCTCAGCAGGGGCCTCACTGGCAATGTGGGTGGGGAGGAAATGGGGGATGTGCAGCCTTTATCCAGATACGCAGGGGACTGGTTCTGATCTGGATGCATTGCAGGTGAAGGGAGTAGCTCAGCCCTGATCTGGACGTTTGGGGGCAACAGGGAGCAGCCTGGACCAATTTGGCCACGTGTGGGAGGAGTGACAGGGAGGGAGGTAACTTGGCCCCAATCCCATTGTGTGTTGGGTGGGGAGGGGAAGGATGGGGAGCAGCCTGTCAATTCTGAATTGCTGGGGGTTTTTTTTCCAATTAGGGAGGACGCATTATATTTATTATAAGGACAGTATTGTAGGATATGGGAAAATGAAATGCATGGCCACAATTTTTATTTCTCTGTTTAAGATACAGAATTTTAGGGAGTTCCCCCATAAAAAGAGTCTATCCACATGGTCCTGCTGTACCTGCACTAAAAAGTGAAAGAATGCGCGAAAGCCACCATTAAAATGAGTCTGGACATATGCCAGTATGCACATCCATGGCAGAGGTACCTGGTATACTAAGCAGTGGTTATATTACATTTTTTGGCATGTGGTAAAGAACAGTGGGAGCAAGGGGGCAGACTGTTTTTACAGCAATTCTCCCAGCACCATCAGAAGCCCAATAAATTTGTCCTGAGAGAAAATAATTCATTAAGTCTTACTTCAGAATGCTTTTGTCCAATTCCTTTTGGTTTCCCAAGAGCAACTGCAACATGGTGGTGATCATCTAACCGGGTTTCCTAATTGAGAGAGAGATGGACAGACAGACAGAGAATAATTGTACAGTTTCAGTGTATTCCATTTCTCCTTAGGTACACACTTAAGTTTAGTATTCGCAGATGATTTTTTAAAGAAAGACTCCTAATTTGCCCAAGAAAAAAATCAATATCCTTTGAAATACAGCAAATTACTACTGTAAAATAATATGAATTATAAAGCCAAACTGCCACTCAAGTATACTGACTATAAGGTCACTCTTTGTATTAATTTGAAAAATGCATTTTTTATTCTTGTCATCTAAACATGGCAATACAATTTTTGCTCAAACTTGCTAAAGTAGAGATCAAGCACAGACAACTCAATCCAGAAAAGTGAAAGTTTTATAAAGTCCTCAGTGAGTGAAAACAGACTAATACTAGAGACTTTTGCACACTACAACTGTTCTTAACATACGGCTACTACAATGATTCTGTTGAGACAGTAATGCTAAAGCGAACATTAAGGGTTCTGTTAGGGGTGCACTGATAAAAAATTTTTGGGTCAATATTGATGACTGATTATTAACGAGCCATATTGGTTAATACCAATCTGATTCCCAATATGCAGCCCGGCAGCTTATAGAGTAGTGTCCAGCTGGTAAATCTGTTGGGAGAAAAGTGGTTGGGGAGGGGAGCAAACTGAGGCACCTGCACTGAAGGAGGGAGTAGGGCTGGGGTAGGGGCAGGTGCTGCTCAGCCAGGGTGAGAAGGGGTGCTGGTCGGAGCCGTGACCTGCTTATCCAGGGGGGCATGGGAAAGGGCTCCCGTCACTGCATGCATCATTGGGGGAGGCATTAGGAGGCGTGTGCCCCCTGGATTTGTGTGTGGGGCGAGGGTCAGCTGATGTTGCACACTTGGGGTCAGGGATGGCACCGGGCTCTTCCCAGTCCAGCAGGGCTGGGCCGGGGCTGTGCTTGGAGTGGGTGGTGGCACTGGGAGGAGGGGTTATGGGAGAGCGTGTGGCCCTGGAGTGATAAAAGTGTAGCAAAATCACTTCAGCTGTAATCCTGCTTCATTCAGGGTCAAAATTCAGACTATTTAGCTTGCTTGTATTGCCACAGGCTCATGCAGATGTAACATACACAGGCTAACTGCTGATACAGGTTCTCAAGCTGCAGCTCATTCTCCTCCCTTTTAAAGCAACTAAAATGTAAATTTTCCATACCCTGCAACTACAGGGCTTCCTGACATAACATCAAATCAATTTAAGCATAAAAATAAAAATTAAAAAAAAAAAATTTTTAAGTGTAAATCCAGATTAAAAAAAATATAATTTGGAGTGAAACAAATATTGTTTATTCAAGTTGTTTGAATAGAACAGTAGTGATAATGCAACCTGGAAAAAGGTGCTTTCTTCCTAATAACTGATATCTAGGAATTGTGTCACTGCTTTGTCCTGACTTAAAGATCAAGGACCACTTAACTGGGACTTAGGCAGGAATTAAACATGCAATTCCTAAGGAGCAATTCAAATTTACCCAGTGCCAGCATGCCTAAATCCACCATGACATTCCAGTTAGGTCTGCAAGGGTAATGCCTCCCAGCACTGTTCTTCCATTTTACATTAGACATTCATTGGTTTAAAAAACAGAAATCAGTTTGGTAAACAGATTAGAATGCAGCATTGCAGTCTCTCAAGAGAGTGCCCTCAATCCAAAGCTCTGTCTTCCTTGATTTCTTTTTGGCCCCAAGATCCTTGCATTCTTGCCTGACCAGGGACCCAGACTTAAACAGGAATGAAGGGACAATACCTTTATCTAGCTTATTTTGTGCCCTGGTAGTTAGGGCATTTTCTGTTTCCACTGGGAAATGGAAGATCTGGGTCCAAATCTGTTTGGGAGGGAGAGGAAATCTAGAACTTGAGCCTGCCTTGTCTGGGGTACAGAGTACCATCATTCATTCTGATTTACCTACTTTCAAAAACTAAGTATGTGGTGATCTTAGAAGTATGTACAAGTTTTGTGAATTGCAAGTAAGTCAGGACATATAATGGATACCTAGAAGCCTTAGCATTTCCCATTGACTACCTCTAAGTGATGCCAGTGGAGTCTCTTCAAGTATGCATATACCATTTCCCCATTCTCTATACTGCATACCCATTCTCTACATAATATATCTAAACACACTTGAAGCCTCTCCAGTGATGGGTATGCTAAATGCCTAACTAGGTAATTCTGTATTTTGCTCCTCAAGCAGAGACTCAACAGTTACGCCATGCCCCATATTTAGATATATACTAATACTATTTGAATACTGTCTTAAGTTGCTTACTACCTTTTCACAAAATGTTAAAACTTCAAAAGCTGGCTAGAATGTAAGACACTAAACTTCAAAAACCAAAACCTACTAAATTAGTAAACACTGTATTTTATGTGAGAGGGAAATGTAGGCGTATTTGAAATTTGCCCCCTGGAAAGAAGCCTTGCATTTTGATAAATTTTGCCTGCTCTTAAGCAATACACCACATTTTCCTGTTTTCTTCTCCTTCTCAGATACAAACCAGAAAACAAGTCCAGCACAAGGCCTTCTATTACAGATGGATCGGGTTTGTCATTTGCACACACCTCACACAATACTGTTACTTTCTTTGAAAGGAGGAATGGCCATCTATGAGGATCAGTTGTTTGAAGAACTGCTGCTAAACAATTTATAAGGCTCCATAAGGTGGCAATCCTTCATGTTTGTCTAGACTGTTAAATGACTGTCTAGATTTTATCACCTCATTTCTTCTCTTTCACATTTTACATGTCCTAAGGGCAAAAGACTGATGAGATTAGAATACATGGCAAAATGCATTTACTTGTACCCTCAAGTCCATATCTGTAAATCCTAAATCCACCATACTATTTTTTTAAAATAAATGTGCCGAAACTCTTTTAATCTTGCTCACTGAACATATGCAAGCTTACTGCATCTTGTTTGTATAAATCGGGTGTTAGTGACGTTTAATGCCATTCATATGATCTATAACGTACCTGATTTTCTTATTTGCTATTATTTTGTTACTTCACTTAATAGAAACACAAAACCAACTTATAAGATGAATTCTGTCACTAAGGGAGGCAAACAGCTAAAGAAAAAAAAGAACAAGGACAGCAGTAGAGAAGTTCCTCTGTAGAGAAACACCAAATCAAGCTTCTTCTTTGCAAACCAGTAGATGCACTGTGGAGTTCCATTTGTTCTTCCTTTACCACCTTTAAGCAGATGCAAAGTAGTCACTTAACTGCTTTGAGCTATGGTGCTTTCTAGGATTTGAAATGCCCCTTTTTGAGGCCAGGAACCTGTCAAATCTAACTCTAAAGCCTTACCCTGAAAAACACATAAAATATCACCTTCTTCCTCAACAGAATTACTTGAAAAACATATTAATTCGTATTTGTTGACCTTAGCAACAAAAGTTTGGACTGATACACTGGTTGGCATTACAGAAATATCAGTAAGACTGTTCCATATTTACTAGTACGCCAACAATGGAATTATTCATAAAATTTCAGTTACACAGGGAGTGTTTTACTGAAAACAACTGGGTTGATCAGTTACCTTGAAGATCCTCTCTTAAAAGTAACATGGCTGTAGAGATGTCACAAATGTCCCTGACAGACATTAACTTAAGACACGATTAACCAGTTAAACATGTCTTAAGAACTGTTCTGGCCACATTTTCAATTAGTGAATAGCATGATAAAATGAGGACTATGCTACAAAGTTATATAAAATGTGTAATAACTTTCTGGTTGGTTTCTATCATGCCTTTATTTGAATGTGTGGCCAGTGCCCAACCACTGGAGCACACAGAGGCTGTGTGCTCCAGAGGCTGGAAGGGCCCTCAGCTGACAGGCTCCCAGGTGGGGGGGGTGGGGGCATGCACCCTGCACTCCCACAACTGAGACCCCAGTCAGATGATTAGGAGGGAGGGTACCATGTGCTCAGGTAGCTGGGAGAGATGCTGAGATGACCAGAGTTCCAAGCTGGGGGAGCACACCTTGTAGGTGTGCATCAGATCCTGCAGCTAATCTCATTGCATTTTTAATGTTTGTTAGCGGCCAAAGCTGAATATCTGCTCATATAAAAGTCAAAACCACATATAGCTGGCTTGTTCAGCAATTAGAAGACTGCCTAATACATAGCTGGATAATTAATCCTTCTAGCTAGTAGCACTGTTAGTGCTGTGCCATCTGCAGCTTGAAAATGACCAGGTCTTGTCAATTTCAAGCCTGCTATTAAAGGCAAGGCCTTGTAAGTAACAGTGTAAGGAAAGGCAATGAAATGCCAATATCTGATTAACAGCTAATCACAGGCATTCAGTAATAAAGTAGCAAGTCTAAATGAGGTGTAAGAACAATCTATTCTGCTAAAAATGAACAAGCCTGTTTACACCGCCTCAAGCAATGCCTTTAACATTAGAAATCAATTGAGTTTGCAAAACTCCTAGTTCCATTTGCATAATTTAAATGGCTGCTCCCTTTGGCACAGGTTTAAAATGAGGCTTAAAGTTTCACCTCTGGAGCCGCACTAAGATTAAATTAACCACAGTGCTACTATGCCCAACTCTATACAAGCATTTCATAATTGCTAGCACTAGATTCTGCCACTTTTACTTCCATCAAGCTGTTTTTATCCCATACTTATTAAAAACATATGCTGTTAGACTCTTTAAATCAGATCTATAATTACTGATTAACTGAGTTTACATGTTAAGAAGCACAGAGTGAACATTTCAAATCAATTAAAAGCAAGCTCATATAGTCTACAAAAAAGAAAATTAACGGCCTTCTTAAGTTCATATAGAAGGCCATTAATAAACTGCATGTATATACAAAGGCATGATAATTTTCTAAAATTATTCATGACTTCTGTTCTCAACTATTTTAACTAATATTTGCAATTGTATATTTGCAACAAAGAGAAAGAGAAAAACATTGATGATCTGAATTAAATCCTAACGTTTTATTTCCATATTTATAAGGTTCTTCAGTGTAAAA